CGTGCAGGTTGGTGGTGGTGGTGGTGGTGGTGGTGACGAAGGATTCTGGGCGGCGGCCGTTACCGGCATGCTTGGTGGTGGCCGACTGGACTGCAAGCGCTTGGGAGGATGAAAGGTGCAAGTGAATGGCTGCCGGGACGAGGTTGGTTGGTGATTGGTCGTGGCCATGGTTGGTCGGGGTTGGAGTTGGGGCGCCCAACGTTCATCCGGTCCGGCTGAGCGGCCGGCTCTTTCAAGGAAGACTCGCCGAGGGATGGAAACGGCCTAGCTACCAGTGTGTCCCATCGGCTCCGTCTTCACGGGAAAAAAAAAGACTAGTTGGCGTCTCGGCAATGCCCACGCGTTGCCGGCAGACATCTTTTATTGTCTCACTCTCCACGCGCCAACAACCTAGTGGCATACATTGACTCATCATCATCTCTCGCACGCAAGCACGTAACCGAGCAAACCATCCCAGTTAAAGGGGAATAGGCATCTTTATGCCCTTTGATAACCCAAACAAAGCTCTACCAGACACATTTAACCGCCGTGCCGTGCACACTGGCCAGCAGCGCAACTCTCGGCGCCCATCTGCACCCTCCATCTTCACACCGCATTTTCATCTCCTCCAAGAAATCATCTCACCATCCCCATTTGGCAATTGCCAATTCAGACACCCCAACTAGATGCGTGCCACCAGCGCCCGACTAAGAAACAAGTCAATACATTTGCACCCACACGTCCCAAAACAAACGTAGCATCTGAGTGCTCCCACCCCCACGTAACCGATACCCCCCCCTCTTGGTGACGGAAGCTTGTGGCAATGCGGGGAGATCAAGCTTCCCGCCAACAGCCAAGCCAGAAAAAGACCGGCTCTCTGCGGCGGCGGCGGGGCTTCCGATTCTTTCCCCAAAGTCATGCACATGTGACCATGGAACGACACTCATGGCCTCAAGGGATTTCACCACGGTAATTTGCCTCGCACCACACATGTCTTTCAACTCCATCTATTTTCAGACACCAAAAATCATCATAGCTGGTCTAGGAAATGGTAGCCATTGGAAAACTTCCTACCTCCAAGTGACATGAGTGAGAAAGGAGAAAAGCCAATTAAACACCCAATGTATGCCATGCACTCAAACTCCCGAAATCTAGACCGTCTCTAAATCGATTTCGCCTGAATCCTTGCCGTGGCGGGATAGAATAAATAAAAGGCTGAAAATGAAAACAAGCATGCTCTGTCCTGTACCATTCGCCAGCACCGTGTATCCGTTCCATCATGCGTCTAGTGGTAACCTTTAGTAATGGGTATTGCGCAACATAATCGACCCCGGAACGACCTTCATTTGCAGCTTCATCTGTTCTCGTCGCTTCGCCGCCTTCTCCATCAGGATCTGTTTGTGTCTGTCAGACGGGCGGATGATTGATTCGCGCATCTGATCCTGCTTGAGGCCTGTAAATTGACCATCTGACCCGATACGAGAGGTACTTGACGTGCGTCTATGAAGCTTGCCATCCTCCGAGGTTCGGTTGGCAAGCCAGTCTTTAAGGTTGGACATGACGTGGCCGTCATCACCATCATCATCAGAGTCGCTATCCCATGCGCTCATCAGAGGCGGGGCGGGACTCGGTCTGGGAGGTGGTGCTGTGGCCAAGGCAAGTATTGGTGTAGAGGGTGCTGAGCGTGGGAGCGAAGGCGCACTGATCCTGCATGTGTCATGGGCATTCGGTGATGGGGATTGCGACACAGATTCCTCCGGTTGCTTTGGCTGCCGAGATCCCTTGAACAAGCTCTTTTGTTTGGGTTTTGCCGCGACAATGTCAATAGGCTGAGGAGTTTCTCGGCGGCGGAATCGTGAAGCAGCCGCCAATGCTAGGCTCAATGATGATCTCTTCTTCTTGTTTGGTGTAGGGAGCTGCAAAGAACTGTCGCTGAGCTGGCAAGAGTCTCTGCTTGCAAGCTGAGCCGCAAACTCGTGATACTCTCCTGCAGCTGCATAGTCGCTGAATTGACCATAGGCTGGGTCCCACGGGCGGATTGGCCCCTCATCCAAGTGCATCTGGGCAAACGAACCGCTCAAACTTCCAAACTGCTTCTCACTTCCGTCACGCATTGGTTGTTTGTGAATGCTCAGCGGTGGCGGCACAATAGACAGGTCAGGAGACATGGGACCCCATGAGCTTCCCCTGCTAGAGGACTCATCTACATCAGTCTCCAACACTGGCACCAAATGATAATCTGGAGTCTCGTAGGTCACTGGCTCGTCTAATCTCACCCCCGATCCTGTAGAAGACGAGTCTGAGTCCGCGCCTCCCGAACGGAAGGATTGCTCATCCATTACATCCACGTCCATACCAGTGAGTTGGTAAATCTTCTGCTGCGAAGAGCGGCGAGACCACGTTGATCCCGAATAGCTGTTCCTATGAAAGTGACCAGACTTGGGTGAAGATGAGACCGTCACCGAGGGGAGTCGCCGCGGGGCAGAGCTAGACATTTCTGTCCGAGTATTGTTTCTCCGATTAATGGGAAACGATGCTTGAAAGGCAAAGGCTGGCAACGACGCCGGCGCGGTCGCGGAGCCCTTTCCACGAGGCTGAGGAGTCATGGCTCTTGGGGCAGAGGATGTTGATGTAGGAGGAAGAGGTGGCAGCGGTCTGTTTGCGTAGGCCTGCATGTCAGCGGGTGTCGAAGCGCTGTACTTGTGACCACGACGGAATTGGCGGTTCTGAGGTGACTGTTCTGACGGAGTAGGTTGGTTCATGATGTGGTTGAGAGAGGTCGGTCTCTGCCCTCTGTATTTGAAACGGCAGCAAGCACAAACGTCAATGGGCTATTGTCAATCAGGCTTCGAGTTGATTGACACGCGGGCGACAATGGGAAGAAAAAGACCGGCGGGTGCGGCAGACGCTACGCCTGCTGATAGAGTGGGAGCGGCTGATGATATGCCGCTCAAACAATAGCTTGAAATGCTGAAAGAAGAATGAGCAGGAGCGGATCCCCTCGATCCACGTCCCGACCATATGACAGCGCAAAACACCGTGGTCGGCCAAGATAATCAGTCTCGGCCTTCTTTGTTGTGTTGCTCGAAAGGCCCGGTCAGACGTTGTCCAAATGCGTCAACTGCCGAGTTATCGCGTGTGATGACGGGGTGTTGGTGGCAGCCAATGCCCAAGTCTTGTCATGTACCCGGTCAAGAGTGAATCTTTGGAGAAGGGCGACAAGATACGGCGACGGAGGTCAAGGGGCCAGTGACAAAAAAAAGAAGAGAAAAGAAAACCCAACCAAGCAAGATCCGTGGGGGAAAATAAGAGGCGGCGCTTTTAATGAAGTAAATAAGGCTTGTCGGTTTTTGTTCCGGGGTGTGTGTCCCCTCTGGTCTTTTGGTCCTCCCTCCTCTTGGGTCCTTTTGCACAATTGCTCGATGGTCGACATGGTCCGGGCAATCCATGTTTGCCCCATCTTCCCATCTTTGCCATGTTGCCATGGGATCTGCCCTCCCATGTCTCCCGGTTGCGGGTGCATGCGACTGTAACAGAGCACGGAGTACCGAGAGTGCATACCCCGTACTCCGTACAGAAGACGACGATGGAAGCGCAGCCACTCGCCTGGTGGTGTGGGCAGCCGGCCTGCTAATGGCCGACTTTGTTGCAGTGCCGTCCGCCTGCACTGTCTTTATTATTCAAAAGCACGGACCACTCTGTGGCGTTTGTGGCGTTTGTGGCTTGTACCGTGTTTCTACTGTCCGAGCCATGTACCGCCTCATCTCTATTGTTTGCGTCGTATTATGGCTTCTACGCTACTGCCAGCCACCGAACTGAGGAGCGCTTTTGTGAATCAAGCACATCAAAGGTGGTGATTGCTGCGCACATAAAGATGGCACGGCGGCTAACGCCCCGCGAGCATGATGCAGTCATGGCTCGATTTTTTAGAGGAACTCCAAATAAGGTTATAGCTAATGACTTTGCGGTTACCGACAGAACTATTCGTAGGCGGCAGTTCACGTCGGCGAATTCAACCGGGATAAAAAGACTCGGATCCTACCTGCATACACCCAGGATGGAATTTTACACGCAAAGATCTGTCGAGGATCTACTGATAGTGCTGTCTTTGAGGAATTTATCGAGGAGCTACTACCGCTCCTCGGCAAGTTCCCTGCTCCAAAATCTGTCGTCGTGATGGATAATGCGTCCTTCCATCATTCTAAAAGGATCCGGGGAATGTGTGCAGCGGCTGGAGTAAGAGTATTGTTCTTACCACCATGTTCCCCCGATTTCAATCCCATCGAGGAGTATTTTGCTGAACCGAAGCGATTCATCAAAAAGCACTGGTTCAGGGAGCATGATCATACTCGGCCGTTTGATACCTTTTTACGCTGGTGCGTTTACCAGGCTGGAGAGCGACGTGAGAGTGCAGAAGGTCACGTTCGCCACTCTGGGATCACTATTAGATATGCACAATGGGTAGAATACGCACGAGACGGGGTCTCCGAACGCAGCTAGGATGCGTGACTGAAAATTGAAACAAGGCTCGAAGGGAATGCTAACGCATTGAATGGTCGGCCAAATCGTAGGAGTCCTCGCCAAGTCCGGCCTTTCAAAGATTTCGAGGTGTTCCGACATAACGGAGAGTCCAAAAAGATATGTGAATCTGCAGTCGGACTCGTTCGTCACCAGAAGACAAGCCTTGTTGAATGAGTAAATCGGAATAACAAAGTTATTGCACAGATGGCATACCCTACACGGTGATTCTAGATGCTGCTGGTGCCAGAGTAAGATGCAGAATAGACAGGGGTCTTGAGACCATTTCACCGGCGTTATGCGCGGTAATCTGTCCCAAAATTTATGGTCTGGAGCGCCGTAAGATCTATTTTGACGCCGATTATATTTGCGGCGCTGCCTCTTGAAATCTAACTTCAAATCTGACTTATGCTCTCTAGTCAGCTTTTTGGCCATGGGGAGGCGCTGGGGTAGTGGTTAAATGGCTGTTTAATTTTTAACGCCTAAGCGCCAACAATACGAGGTACATGCCATGGCCGTGTCTCGCACTGTGTAAAGCCACAATTTGCATTGTTGTTAGAGATTGGGGGCGACACCATAAGCCATTTCTGATGATGGATCCTTGACATGCCCCACCTGCCATCTAGACCTTCCCATTGTGTCATCCACCCACCCAGGCGTGGAAAGCGCCCCTCCCCCCAACCCATGTCATATTCATATTCCTTCATGCCCTTGGTATCCTGCCCTGCTGACAATCAATATCAGCAGGAATACTCCGTATTACGGAGTACATGGCACTCCTTACTGCGTACTGGAACTCCGTTCGCCCTTGCCAAGCTAAATTGAACGCCAACCCCATGTCCTGGATCACGGTCTCCACCGCATACAGGGCTGCTGCCACTTCCCTACAATATTTCATCCTCAGTTGGTTGCTCCTGCCTCTTCCTGGCCCTTTTAGAACATCCGGGGCATCCTCTTGCACAGCCAGCCAAGGCCAGCCACACACCCAATCCCCCGACACTCCAACTTCCAAGCCAAAACTCCCACCAGTCAGCAATCCTTCCACACCGGCTTCTACCAGCCTCGACGTAACCGTCCGATGTAAGATGCATAATGCCAACTATGCGCATCGTCATCTGCGAATACAACCGGCTCAGCAGCATAGCAAATGTGGACACCTTAGCTGAGACCTTTTCCTACTCCGTCATTGTACAAGATGCTGACCGCTCACTGTGTGGTCGTGACACATCATAACCACTTGCCCCAGAAGATGTCAGGTTGCTTCTAGAACCACTCACCAGCGAGCCTCTATTACTTAAGTAGTAATGTGGCGTTGGCCGTTGAATGGCTCAATGGCTAAATGGCGGACGGATTTGCCGTGCATTTGGAGATGTGAGCACCATCACATAAACAAGGCTAACCACCTTCGCCGCAATTCCAACCTAAATCTAACAAGGCCCGCTCCGCCTGAATCGTGCAAATGAGGCAACCTCGGCTCACAACTCAGTACAATTTTTGCAATGCATCAATCATCGGGCAAGACTGCTCGCTTGGCGGTGCGGATGGGCGGGTGCAGTGGACGCCTTGCTCCAACTTTCAATGTCAATGGTGGGCTTATTGAGAGTTGTGAGTCTTACTCACAACCTAACTGCTCTGTACGGCGCACCCGAATGAGTCTGTGACTAAGACATTCAAGTCGTCACTGGTCGTCTGACGACCTCTGTGGGAGTACGGAATACACGTCTCGCAGGCCTACTAGTAGCTAGGGCGCATGATGCTGATTTAAAAAGGGCAAACGGATAACGCGCTACTGCACAGCTTCATGTGCTACGCGTGGCCGCGGCCGCGGATGAACAACTAAAGATGCCTCCCGCTTAACAAACGTCTTGGCCGACTTATTCTCCCGGTCTCTTTTGGTCCACGTGAAGATCAGAGGGTTGAGGACTGGATAAGACGAACACGCCATGGAGGCAGTCGCGGTACGTCGTATCTATACAAGCAGAACAACGATAAATACTGTCATCTCTGGAATTAACCAGTGTACCGAGCATATTGCTGCCAGAATAAGCCACCGCCCGGACTTGAGCGGAAGACGGGAGGGAGCAGGTGGCGTCGTGGTGTTGGGGGCGAGGAGATGACCCAACTGCTCCGGGAAAGGGCCACGCACGCTCTGGCACCAAGAACAAGCTTCAGCCCAGTTCGCCAACACAAACATTGTCATGCGAATGCAACGCTAAGCCGAAAGATGAATGAAGCGGTCAGCGAAATAAGACCAACTGTATATCTTTTTTGGGCGGCTGTTATTTCCGAGACGGGCAAAACACTTCCATGCTTGAAAAGCAAACTTGCTCAAGCATCAGCTTCCGCCGGCAATTCTAGGCATCTCGTCATTGATGAGCCTTACGGAGTCTTGATGTGGTCCATCCATCTGTGTTCCGAATCCACATGCCTTCTCGCTTACCTGCCACATGCTTGATAGTAAATCGGCTGCTGGGGTCAATCCCCCCACTTTCCAAGAAGTGCTTGCTTGAAAGATGACGCATATTGACGCTGCCGCATTCAGGGTTCCGCGCTCTCCGTACGGAGTACAAGCAGCATGCGTCGTCGCCTGTCGGCCCCCAAACGGCGCTTGCTATCTTGGATGCCGATCCTAGTCTCCGAGTAGTACGGTACACCAAATTCTATTAATATCGTAGATTATATTCGTAAAGAGCAAAGAAAAGAAAGAAGGAAACGCCAGGCTGTTCCTTGTGTTTTTTTATTTTACAATGATAATAATAACAATCCTAACAGAAACGTGTGTCCGCACCGTAGCATAAGCATGTGTGCAGATGCAGATACAGTTCCTCGCCCGCAGGAACATGGACCTTGTCACGAGTCGTGGATTCCAACGCCATGCCTGTCCCCTCTTTGGCATGGTATTCCTCCTCGTACATTGGAGAAATCTGTTATTCGTCGTCGTCATCCTTGCCCTGGTAGTCGCCTAACAAAATATCATCAATACCCAACCCGGTAGACGAATTCCTAATCCACTCGGTTTCCACCCGGAAGAATATCCACACCCATCGCCGAAACACCTCGAGAAGCTCTATTAGAAAGATGCCGCTCTCAAAATCACTAAACCTGTCCAAATGAGGACTGAGCTTCAAGGACCAAGTACACCTCAGCATCAGGTCCAGCACAATGACAGCGTAGTACATGAAGACCGGGCGGAAGATGAGCCTGTCGCGAAGCCCCCAGGGGTGGTGGGACGAGTTGCGCTCCCGCCTAGACGCGAAGAGCGTCATGTCCCAATCCTTGGCGACGTCCCAGTAAAACGAATACAGCGAGTTGACGAGCACGGCTGCCAGCCAGGCCCTGTTGTACGCCGCCTTGGCCGCCGCGTCGTCCGTGTTCCGCTGCAGGGCGCTCGCGACGAGGACGGGGAACGCGGTAGAGTACTTGAGGGCGTTGGCCAGATGCTGGCCTCCCCAGCCCGCCGACTCCTTGTACGGCGCCCGCCGGACGCGGAGGTACTCGACGATGCACTGCCGGAACCGTATGGCGCTGGGCACGCCCATCAACAAGGGCACCATGACGGTCCCGCCGCAGCTCCGATCCGGACGCCTCGT